TTAAGAGTTTTTTTATAAAAAGATCTAAGAAATGTGTAATTTCTATTACATTATTCAAATTCTTTGCTCCTTACTTTCTCAACAAGTCTGCCTGAGTCAGGCAAAGTTAAAACCTCCTTATAGTACTTCTGAGAGTTGTAACTTATATTAATGCATTGCTATTTGAAATATAAAAAGTGTTATTTGAGGAAGTGCTGTCACTTCTACTACGATGTTATGACATATTTTATCATTTCCCTGAACAATGTATTATCAGACATGAATTTTGGGGGCCTGATTTCACTTCTGCTATTGTTTTCCAGTTATATCTTTGATCTCCCAGATCATTTGAGATACATATATTTTGAGAAAAATATATGATTGGTTTTAATATGTGACTCCATCTCAAGATTTGGCTCGATGTGACAAATAAAAGCTTCATAAAAGCCGTAGCTCCATGGGGCAGCTCTATGCTGTCCTTCCAGATCATTATAACTTGACGGTATTGGGGTTTTTGCTTAATTAGTTTTGATTTTCTTCAGAAGGTACGAGATATATTTTTGTTTTACTAATTAGTCCCTTTAACTTAAAAAAAAAAGAAAAGAAAAAGAAAAACCCTTAAAAAAAAGTTGAGCTCATTTTTCTCTACTTAGACCACAAACTGAGGCAGTATTTACTGTTCCCTTTCTCTATGAAATAAGGATTATAGCATAACTACCCTGAGTCCTTTAATATATACTTTCCAGTGTTAGATAGTATCATCGAGAATTTTTTTTCTTTAATCCAGTATTCTTGATCGACCTTAGTGAGTTGTAGTTTTATAATATGCCGCTTTTCTTTCACAAATCCTTTTTTAAAGCATTTACATGAGCAAATTTACAATACTCATTCAGACCTAGAATGCTCACTGCCAGACCTTTGTGGCCACAACTTCCCCAGGCTCCAACTCTGCTGATTTTTTATTTTGATGCCTCTCCTAATGACCGTGGTATAGCCAACGCTGGAACCTAGATGTGTATGGGATTTGTCTTCATCCTTGAAGTTCAAAAAATGCCCCAACATATGTACATGTCCTACTCACGGCACTTTTCTGTGATTTCGATGGTTTTACTTACCCAATTCTACTTCAATTGTGTTGTTTCTTGGATAAGTAATTTTAGGGACTCCATATTCAAGTTTTCCTGTTAAGAAACCATCCCCACATAAAGTGGCATGAGAATCACATAGGGTAAATGCGCAGCTCCTCAGGATGATAATACAGAGAAAGCACAGCACGGAGCAGGTCTGCAGGAGAGGTTGGTTCAGAAGAAAACAAGACACGTGATGCAACAAAGGTCTCATTCCACAAGTCATGGAATTGTCCAGAAAAAGCACCAACAAAGCTAGAAGTCAACCTACCGAGATAGCTCGCCTCTAAAGGACATATTTTGTGTAAATATAAACTAATGAGATGTTATAAGAAAATCTAATTATCTAATATCCCAAAATACACTTCTTCCACAGTGACTATTAGCAAAGTTCTGTACTGTTAAGTGGGAAAAATTCATATCCTAACATATGATCTGCAGTTTTAGCCTCCACCCCAGCTCCGCTTTTCCATATCCTTCAGCATCCTTTCCTCTTTTGCTATTCTTCAAAGATTCACTAGACTGTGCCATCCTACTTACACTTTATGACTGTCTTTCTTGAACCGATGTCTGCAAGACCCTTCGTCTTTCTCCTTCTCTCCTCCATTCCACTGTCCACAATTTACCAGTCACCTACTTAGTCCCAGAATCCTCCTATCTATTTGTGGGGATGTATGCAAAAGTCATGAGGGCAAGCTAGGAAAAACATGGAAAATCGCATGCCCTTTATAATGGCATTAATATTTGGACATTCTACCAACTATTCAATTTCAGTATGATAACACTAGCTGGTGTTATTCATTTCCTTATACCACCTCATTAAGCTCACCTCCATACAGGAGATCACATACACCTAAAATCTGAAAATCATTCTAGGCAACCACTTTTCTCTCACCCTCGATTTCAACTCTATACTCTTCCTCAGCAATCTCCTTCCCACCCACCACTTCAATTACCATCTAAAGTCCAATGCCTTTGAATTTTATGTCTCCAGATTTTTCCTTTAAGCTATAGACTAGCAGTTCTCAACCTGTGGGTCGTAAGCCCTTTGAGGGTCCGACAACCCCTTCACAGGGGTTGCCCAATTCATCACAGTAGCAAAACGACAGTGATGAAGTACCAATGAAAAGAATTGTATGGTTGTGGGGCACCACCACATGCGGAACTGTATGAAAGGGCCGCAGCATGAGGCAGGTTGAGAACCACTGTGCTAGACCCATATAGACTCTTGGCTACTCTACCTGCATCTCGACAGGGGCATCTCAAAGCACATCATACTCGAGTTATCTTTCACCAAATTCTGATCTCACTTTTAAAGCTAGTTCTCCTTCAGATTCATCTTTTTTTGTTGAATAGAATCATGATCCAGTGGGTCACATAAGCCCCGAGACCCAGTGTCACTGGCATGTACACATCCCTCACGCTCCATCATCAGCGGCACATGAAGATCACTCACTTCTACCTCCTCCAATGCCTTGAATCCACCTCCCTCGTCACTGCCACCATGTTACGTGTGCTAGCATGCTGCCTCCCCTGCCCTTGCACACCTGCCTCCTAACCAACACTCTGGCCCCTGCAGGGACCATGGTGTGCACAACTGCCTGACCCCTCATACTAAAATGTGAAACATCCTATGCGTCTCTCCTGCTCTTGACCCTGCTGGGCATTGACCTTTATTCTTAAAATAAGAGGGGGCTTCAAAAAGTGTGCAGGAGAAAATCCCCATTATCTTTGCATTCGGCAAGCTTTTTGTAGTGCCCTCGTGCAATCCAAACTTCCCACTTTGCCTTTTAGTCCCTGGGTGATACGAACATTGAACATGCTTGGCTGCTGCCTGAAAATCTGGAGGCTCCAGGCCACAAAGAACCACAGCAGAAGAAAGACTTGGCGATCTATTTCCGAGCAACTGGCCATCGAAAACCCTATGGAGCACACTTCTACTCTGACACACGTGGAGTCACCGTGAGTCAGAATCTATTTGACATCAGTGGTTCTGTTTCAACTTGATCTTGAACCCTGAACATTGCTGAACTCTTCACGTGCCATGTTCTACCTCGCCCACATCACTCCAACACAACCTGTCTGCTTCTCTGTTCTTCAGACACCAAGCTGCTCTTGTTAGAGGAAAAACTTGCTCCTTTAGTCTGAAAAGGTCTCATCCATTCCTCCTGTAGTTAATGCTCCCCGACTCCTGAGCATTAGCATTAGCAGTAAGTCGTTTCTGACTCACTGCCTTCACAACAAGTCCATGTCTGTTTGAGCTTATCTTTTTCCTTTCCCTAATTGCATTAATCTCCTTGGTAATTACATGTTTCATTAGTGGACTCTTCTATCACTCTCTCTATCTCCTCCCAGCTCACACGTCATGCTCCACATAAGCCGTGATCAGGTATCTCGTATCACTCTCACTTTTTAGTTTGTGGCCAGGCACGCAAGCTGGCCTGATCAGGCCCTTGGTAAAGAACCACGAAATGACTAACTGAAGGAAGGGTTCCTCTACCCCCTCCACTCAAGTTCAGACTAGCTGAAAACTCGTGGAGCTCAAGCCTCCGCTCAACTCTTCTTCGTGCCATCTCTGACTTGATCTCAGTTGTCACAAAGACAACCTTGCTGCTCTGCCCTTTCAGCCGTTCAAGGGTCGCTCCCTCAGTAGCTGCATGATGAAGTCTATGCATACAAGCAGTCTCTGATCTTGCCCGTTTTCACTCTGTGGCCTCGGCTTCCACCACCCATCAGCTCACACTTAGACTCAAGAAATTAGTTTTAGATCTAATGTGAACCATGATGTTTGTTATTTCCACATTTGGCCTTATACTGTTCTTATGCCTAGTGACCCCTGCTGACCCTTTTTCACTTATATAAATTGTATTCATCCTTCCAAATCCAGCTGAGACATGACTTCTCCTTGGCTACTTCATCATAGCGCTCGTTTGCCACCACTGTTGTACCACCACATTCGAGTGTGATGATTCTTTCCCCATCCCAAGACATTCTGTCTATAACTCTGTAGTTACATACAATGTTGAAATGACTTCCATAATATCTCCAGCTCCACTACCAGCAGGCTGGGAGTATCTCAACAGATGAACCAATTTTTGTCATTTCAAAATTCTCAGGTCTAACGTAAATTTTGGCATGGACATAAAAGATCACAGAAGTTTCCAAAAAAGTTTTTGAAGCCCTTATGTAACCGATTTTAAAAATAAATGCTTATTGCGCTGAAATGAAATAGACTGTTCAACCCAATGGGCTCTGGAAGTCGTTTTCTGAACCTTCAGTCTTTGGGGCAGGGGTATCGAGGAGCTCCCACAGAAACAATGCACGCTAAAACAGTGTAGTAGTCAACCATAATCTGCTCATAAATTGTCTGTGTCTCATCTAGTTTGGACACTGGATGTGGTGCTAGGGACTTAATGGCGAATAATACAAAGTAGATGCCTACTTTCAAAGATATAATAGTTATAAAATAAAGAAGAGAAAAACCATAAAATCCAGTACAATTTTCTTACTTAAGGGGCTCTTATCAAAGAAAATTAAAATCAGAGACTCTCCAACAGCATCTAAAGTCAAATAGATAATTTCAGGAAAAAATCACCAGGGAAAGGCTGGGGAGGAAGGAATATCATGAGGAACAATATGCCTGGACGTAGGGAGCCACTGAACCTCTGCAGACTAAGTGCCAGGGAGTCTCTCCTAGCAGGGAATAGGGAGCCACCCATACTGAACATATCACCCAAGGGAACCTCACCATTAAGAGATAACTGAATTGTCTTCAGGACTTTGATGCGCTACATAAATGAATTTAAAATATGAGGCTCCAAGTCAAAGAACTATCAAATATCTAGTTCCCTCCATTTAGATGGTTGTGTGCTGTCATGTGGATTCCAACCCATAACAACCCTTTATAAAGGGCAGAGCAAGATCCTTACAGGGGCAGATTACCAGGTACCGTATAGCTCTCTCTAGGAAATCCTAGTGGGCTTTAACATCTAATCTCTCAGTTAGAAGCCAACTACTTAACCAAATAGCCTCTACTGAAGAAGTCACAAAAGGCAGCCTAGCAGGAATTCCTTTGTCAATATGTCGAGGGAAAAACTGCTTGCATGATTATCAAAATACCTAAATTCTAGTCTTGCTTTTGTCATTAAGCAGCTTTTTCAACTTAAGTAAATTACTCCCCTCCTGGTCCTCTAAGGAATTAGAGTTTGGGCCTGAAATTACTTCTAAGGTTTCTTTGTGTTTGTAAGACTTTGTTTCCAAGTCTCATGCTCAAGAAAATTGGCCACTCTTGTGTTAATCACTGAAACCCCAGGAGCATTCAACCAAATGATGAGCCATGCCCACTCATGTGGAACTCTGCTGAGACTCAGTGGAATTTTCATCATAGAAAACTTTCAGCATAATAAGAATATCAGTGTCTGTCCCATTCTCCGAATGCCTATGTTTGGTCAGGCACCTTAGAAGCATACTACATACACGACCTCACTTAATTTTCACAAATAAGCCAGGAGTTTTGACTATTCTGGTTTTTCAGATGAGAAAACCTAACTGCTCACATCGTTCTGCTGCACGCTTTCTGTTCTCAGACTTTAACAAGGACAGTTTTGAATGCCTACTCCCTCTCAGCAGAGTCAAGATGGAGAACCATGTCCGTGCAAACCTGGAAGCGCACATAAAGCCAAGAGAGGAGTCCCGGGTACAGATATGAGCATACTTACTGACGTCTACACTAATGTCGTTTAAAACTGTGTAGTTCTTCCCCTCGTGTGTCAGTCTTGCTAGGCATGCATACATCCCTCTGTCTTCTGCTGAGACATTTTTTACAAACAGCTTCATTCCCACAGAATTAAACCGCTCTTCTTTAATCTCTTTACATTCCTAAACACAAAAGGAAGTAAATAAACTGGTGAGTATTTTGGAATACCAGTAACACGCTTAGTTAGCATCAGCCTATAAAACGAGAGAACATGCAAGAAAACAATAGGGTCCCTTGATCTTCCAATGTGCCTAGAAGACAATCTTACCAAAAGATTTGACAAAGAATGAGTGACACAAATATTACATTCTTATTTAGCACCTTAATAAGGACTGTGATGAGAGAAAAGAAAGCTATGTGCTCCCTAGTACTTGGAAATCCGAAAACTCGCTCTACTTGTTAGGCAGTATACATGTGTATCCAGAGTATTTGACAAAGAATTGCTAAAATGAGTAATATAAATATTAACTCTAGTAGTAGTTGAGAGGAAAACAGCTTCTGCAGGCTAGGCTTATGAAGGAAAACTTCACAGAGGAGGAAGAATTAGACTGGCCATGAATAATTTTGGTAGGAGCAGGTAAACAGGCAAGAATGTCCTTCACCAAAGCTGATGGTGCCCAGCTATCAAAAGATATAGCTGGGGTCTTAAAAGCTTGAAGGT